GGTTCTGGATTAACTTTTATGCATTCACTTGCTTTTCCTGACAGTAATTTTCCTATTATGATGCATTTTTACTGAGACAGATTGAAAACTGGGGGATTTATTTTCAGATGAGTGTACAAAAATACCGGATACTCTTGCTAGCTTAAATTGATATGTTGTTGTTTTTCCTTATAATTTCATAATCTCGTGAGCAGAAAAATAAAACAAAGAAACCATTTAAAAATCATCGACTATAAACCCATTCAAGGGCAACATGCACTTAACAACTAGCGGTAATAACCAAATATAGATCAGGTACAACTATAGAACTTCACATCCTGACTAGTCGAGCACAGTTTTCTGTTTTTCTTTAGTGTTTCGTGAATAGGGTATTAAAATCTTACTAAATTCTCAAAAGGACTTATAAAATAAAATATTCGTCGATCAATTAATTAAGTATTTTATACAATAACAACAATCCTACTTTAGTTACTGTCACTTAACTTGTTAGTTCAGCTCTTTTGTTTTATGAATAAGCGAACGCATAAAGTGGTTAGCTTGCTCTGATCGAAAGTTAAAAGTTTACTAGTAATGACGAACAGTACACATTTTACATAATTGGTTAAAAAGCAAAAATACTTTAGTTAATTTTGGATTATATCGTACAATATGGCTTTATTTATTGAATATTTGGCTTAGAACGTTCTATTTTATTATAAATTTCAACTGTAACAGTTTAAACTGGTGACTTCTGTTATTTGATATTACTATTCTCCGCTTCCGTAAATCAGCAAGCGACAGGAGTTACGTTATCTCTTTTTTTTACAAGTTTTTCTTTATATAAGATTACGAATAACTTATACTAGTAGAAGATCCACTTCCAAAACGTCACAACACGGCGTAACGAATTTTAACTCATCATAAGAACCAGATGAGAAGCTAGACGTTTGTTCGAAACTTGTCGTCCGTCTCTTTTAAGCTGAAAATAATGGTTAAACTACACTGCATGATTTCTACAGTAAAATATTTTAAAACACACTCAAACATAAGACAAATTTGGAGTGAATAAGTATGTTTGTTTTGTTTTGAATTTCGCGCAAAGCTACACGAGGGCTATCTGCGCTAGCCGTCCCTAATTTAGCAGTGTAAGACTAGAGGGAACGCAGCTAGTCATCACTACCCACCGCTAACTCTTGGGCTACTCTTTTACCAACGAATAGTGGGATTGACCGTCATCACATTATAACGTCCCCATGGCTGAAAGGGCGAGCATGTTTGGTGGGATGTGGATTTGAACCCGCAGATTGCGAGTTGAGCGCCCTAACCACCTGGCCATGCCAGGCCTATTGTTTTGATTAAACACACTCTGCTCAGAATGCGTTTTGTCTTAATGTGATGACATAAAATTGTTATAATAGAATTTATTTGGTATTCAAAATATTTAAGACACGCTAACGGGAAAATACCAGATTTAGAAATATACATATAATTAAAAAAAAGCAAAAGACATTGGACCGAAGAAGACATGCGAAATGTCGAAAATAGTTTTCGTTTGAACTTGGTATTGTTAGCGTGGGTTTAAACTTTATTGTAAATTACTTTACATGGTATTGTGTATTTATCTATTTTTTATACTATAAATCAGGTTTGTTCAGAAATCAGAATCCTGATAACCCCGAATAGAAATCTTATTTCGACGTGACACATTAGCAACATTGATCTGCAAATTGAGTAAATTAAAGTGTTTTGGAATTCATGAATTAAATTATTTTAACTTATATATATATATATATTTCCTAATCTGCAAATGAAAATTATACATTAAAAATGATGAAACATGTTATAAAAAAATTAGTGTTTTCATCATTTTGGTAACGAAAACTATTCGAAGTTTTGAGAGAAAATGCCTCCAAGTTTAAAAAAATTTTGATTCAAAGATTTTCCTAGTTATAAAACTCTAAGCTTTATAAAAATAAATTTTGTTACTTATTTATTATATTAAATTTCATGACTTGTTTATCATAATAAGTTTCATGACTTATTGCACATTTAAATACAAAAATATTGTAAGTAGCCTCAACGTACGTTATAGAAGTTACTCGCACTCAATGATGGAAAAATAACATCTGTAACAGTAGACCTCTTCATGTTTCACTGTAACATTTTTGTAAAGTAGTTTGGGTTTATTGTTGCACCATAAGGCCGGAATCTGTAGTAACCTGTTCACGCCTTGACTCTTGCACCAAACGAATCCTCAAGCTTGGCACTGAGTCCTTACTGAAATCAACATTTTACTGCTCTTATAGTTTCTATGAATATGCATAGAGTTCCAAGAAAATACAATTATTAATACAAGACAATTCGCGTGTTCCTCTAGAATTTACAGCTCGGCTTAAGGTTAGACAGTTTCGTCGAGTATCCAACCTCGGTCAAAAGTTAAATATAAAAAGGCCGGTTAATTTTGCAGGGAGTCTAGAAAGTAGACAAAGATTAGATGCAACAAAGACGGATTGTTTTTGCAGAGTGACTATCTAAAGTGTCCAACAAGAGGTCAAAAGTTAGACATAAAAAGGCCGGTTAATTTTGCAGGGAGTCTAGAAAGTAGACAAAGATTAGATGCAACAAAGACGGATTGTTTTTGCAGAGTGACTATCTAAAGTGTCCAACAAGAGGTCAAAAGTTAGACATAAAAAGGAGTTTTTGTAGAGTATCAGTTAAAGTGTCTAGCAAGAAGTTCATGTTCTCTGATTTTCTTGTTACGTCAGGGGTACTAGCTTGTTGTTTAAAAACTTAGTTACATTAGATGAAATGTTGTTATTGTTTTTCTTCATATGTGACTAAAGAAAAGCAAGCAACTAATTCTCTTTCATCTGTTTCACTCTAAACGATAACATTTCTTCCATGCCTTGTTAAGTTACGGGAAAATATATGTTTGTTTTTACTATAGCTTTTAAAGAGAGAGAAATTTGAAAGAATTTTTTTTTACGTGTTTAGTCAATCAGAATGGTCAGGCTGTTTAATCACTGGAACAACTCGGAGCATTCACGTGAAAACTCATCATTAAGCAGCTGTTAGTTGTGAGAGTGAAAGAAGAGTTATGTTGATGTTACCTTCTTGTCTGTGATGACAGAGACAGATCGAGTCTCATTGAGCACAGAAACTGCATGTGCTTACCAGTGTGATCCACGAAAAGCATCATTTCAAATCTAAGTTCCAAAACTGCTTTTATTTTCTCATAAATATATGCAGTGAACGTATAAATCAAACACTCACTGATAAATCTAAGTCTTAGATGTGCTTTTAGTTGTAACGATAAAAAGTATTTTTTACTTATGTATTTTATCAGCAAAGTATACAGAGAAGTTCGTATAGTCAAAGCAAAATTTGTCAGATTTCTTACTTAACGGAACATGTATTAACGAAAAAGTTTCTGTTGAAATTCCGTAAATCAGCTGTCTATATAAAAATATTTTATAAAATAATTTATTTTCTCTTTTTTCCACAAATGACATAATTAGTTGATGAAACAACATTTATGGTTGTCATGGATGAAACGATAAAAGTACCATTAAATTAGGTTATCTATTTTTTTAGAAAAATTTAACACTGGTGTTGAGAATATAGAGGGTGGGCCATAGCGAACCCTCAAATAGAGGAAAACAAAGCTACTCGTAACACACAACAAATTCTTCTTCATGATTAAGCTGTACTGCATAAACACTAAAATAATGTAAAGTTTCAAATGTTAAAAGTGTCCTTCCCCTGTTATCAGTTCTCACGTGACCTAGGACGCATTATAAAAAAGTCACGTGAAATACAACAGATTTGGTATCTTTAGTATCTCTATAGGTTGGCCCGGCAAGGCCAGGTGGTTAGGGCGCTCGACTCCCAATCTGAGGGTCGCGGGTTCGAATCCCCGTCACACCAAACATGCTCGCCCTTCCAGCCGTGGGGGCGTTATAGTGTGACGGTCAATCCCACTATTCGTTGGTAGCCCAAGAGTTGGCGGTGGGTGGTGATGACTAGCTGCCTTCCCTCTAGTCTTACACTGCTAAATTAGGGACGGCTAGCGCAGATAGCCCTCGTGTAGCTTTGCGCGAAGTTCAAACAACCAAACAATCTCTATGTATCTCTATGATACATTCTCTATGTATACATTTAGTCATTTAACATTCTAATGTCTTTACTCTTTCGGAGCATGTGGTGACAGAATCGTGTCACTAACGGTGTTTCTTGAGAAAATACGAACGGTTGTCTCAAAAGTAATTAGGTCAGTTAGAGGAACAACCGTGAAGCTTTGTGAAACATTCTAGTGTAGTTTTTTACATTGATCCTCCAGTTGTTTTCAAGTTTAATAAAACCTGCTGGAACTTTATGGATACATGCAGCTTGTTATTGTAAATGTTAAAATATTTCGTACTTAGTGTCACTATTTTGCCTGTGGCGTTCAGGTAAAGCATGGGTTGCCCCTGGAGTTAATATCCAGCAACTCTTGTTTTTAGCTACACTTTTAACACTATAATTCGCCTACTTTAAGTTTTCTTGAATTTCGGGTTATCTATTAGCAATAATTTTGTGAAATTACCACTTCTTAAACCCTATAAAGCTTGTGAAATAAACATACTGAAAACAATGTTTCTCTTGAAGTGCCGTTCCTAAGACATGTTTTCACAGAAAATATCACTTAAACGCTATAACGGGTTCTTTTATTTTAATTTGTTGTTAAATTTAATAAATATGTTTATGTTTATGAATAGATAATACATTTAAATTATTTGTAGTCAACGTTTAGAACATCCTGGCGAAGGGAACCAATAGCTGATTTAACTCTTCTCTGCTTTCTGGCACACGCTGCGAGACAGTATCAAGCCAAATTCGTTACTCTGAGCGACGGCAGCAAGCAGTTCTAATACAGCCAATCAGAGTATCGAGCCCTTGGCCGCCATTTTGAAGTTTACCTAGCACGTCTGCGCCAGCATTGGCGGGCGGCTGTGTTAGAAGCGACGCTGCCAAGGTAGGTATACTAAGCTCAGTTAGTGAGGGAGTCGTGACAGTATCGGACATGTGGTTGTTTAGTTGTGTTTGTTACTAACTAGAATCAACGTTATTTAGTGTTCCTGTTCAGTAGAAACCAGTTTGCTCGTCTTAGGCGAAGCTCTTTGACCGATGAACGGTATAATTAAACGTCAAAGTTAAATACAAAACATGGGTGTCTGCAAAGCTTCATTTCGCTCTGAAATTCAGCCAAGCACCGTAGAAGTCATTGTCTTTTCGGGGAAAGAGAACCGGTAGCCCCAGGGCAACGTGAAAGGTATGGAAAGGTGGACCAGACGGTGTTTTAGGCCCGGTTCTAGGGGCTGTAGCTGTATATTTTTGGGCTTGTGCGTACTATTTCTATTACACTCGTGTCTGTATCCAGCATATGCTTATGTAGTCAGAGTCGATACAAAAACCAACCTTCCTGGGTCTTTAATTTTTAATGCCAGCCTGGGACCAGGGAGAATCTATAACCTCGATCTCAGACGCACGGCCAAATATGTAGGGAACCTTGTCCAGCTCAGTCAACAGGAAGGCACGTTGCACCTGCGGCGAACGTTAAAATGTAGGGGCTCAGTACTGGAGCAACTGGCACCCAACCCTTTTGTATTGTTTGTGGAGTCTAGGAGTTTTCGACTGAGCGGGTCAGAGACAGAGGCTATCAGCCTTCCCCTGGTGGTGTATTTCAATCATTCTACGTGCCATAAGCCTCTTCAACCACCTGCTGAAAGCAAGGTTACCATCGTAACTCTAGCAACTGAAAGAGGACACAGAGACTTTTTACATAATAATTCAAACAAAGTGGATGGAGTGTGTTTCGGTCACAGTCAGCAGATAACTAACATCGGGTTATTTCTCCCAGTTCAGCTAAGAACTTGCTCTATTAAATTTTTTGCTCCTGATGACCAAAGGTATGCAGTTGAGAGCCGTGGTCAAGATTTAGTTGCTAGGGTCCAATTCTGTGAGCATTCTTCTGTATGGCTCGTGACTGTTCCATTCGCTTTGAAGTGTGCTTCGTTAGACAGTTCTAATACACAAATACTTGAGCTTTACTTTCACAGAATTGGAGCTCTAGCACTTAGTACGGACGTTTCTAGTAAAAGGAATAAGTACAGAGGACGTCGAGATACTAGAAACTTTCCACCTTACTTTGATAAGTCCTTAATAGTAGTGTTTGTGCCAGAAGAAAAAGAAAAAGGCTATGTAGTTACGACTGTGAGTGCTAAAGACCCGGATGATCTGACATATTCGTTACATGCAGTGTTGGACGCTCGTAGTCAGACCATGTTCAACATTGATCACGTATCTGGGGTAGTGACAACAACTGTCAGTCTAGATAGGGAGTTTATGGATGTCCATTATTTGCGAGTGACTGCAACCGACAATGGTTCTCCTCCTCGTAGTGGGACCACTACACTGCAGGTCAATGTTGGTGATGTCAATGACCATACTCCAGCCTTTGAAAGAGCCACCTATGAAACATCCATTAAGGAAAGTGTCTCTATCGGGTCTACAGTTTTGACAGTCAGAGCGACTGATCAAGACACTGGTTCTAATGCTGAGCTTGAGTATAGCATTCTTAATCCCAGTGGAGTCAACGATGCGTTTCGCATCAATCCACAGACGGGAATCATCACTACTAGATTAGCTCTAGATAGAGAAACCACATCTTTCTATTCTCTGCTAGTGCAAGCTACAGACATGGGCTCAGTGACCGAACGCAGGTCAGCAACAGCTACTGTGGAGATCTCACTTTTGGACGATAATGATAATTATCCTCAGTTCACCGAACGAGCATACACTGTAGAGGTACCTGAAGATATTAACTGGTTAAACAATCCAGTAGTAGCCCGTATAAGAGCCGATGACTTTGATGATGGTATCAATGCAGCCATTAGATATAGTGTCATTGGAGGGAACACTCAGGGACATTTTATGATGGATAGTCTTAGTGGTGATATATCAGTGGTGTCACCTCTGGATTATGAATCTGCACGAAGCTACCGCTTAGTGATACGAGCTCAAGATGGCGGTTCTCCTGCTCGCTCGAATACCACTCAGCTTCTGGTAAATGTCATGGACGTTAATGACAATGACCCCAAGTTTTACACTTCACTCTTTCAGGAATCAGTGATAGAGAATGTTGACATTGGTCACAGTATTGTCAGGGTGCAAGCGTATGATGCAGATGATGGTGTAAATTCTGATATTATATACAGTATTAAGACTAAGTATGATGATATGCCCATTGGTATCGACAATAAAACAGGTTGGATTCTTACAACAAAAGAGATAGATAGAGAACAAGAGTCCAACTATGACTTTACTGTTGTTGCTAAAGATCATGGAAATCCACCACGATCAGCCTCTGCAAGTGTGATAATCCGAATACAGGATATTAATGACAATGATCCAGTGTTTGAGCCAAAGATCTATGAAGCTAGAGTGTCTGAGGTGGATCCTCCTGGAACCCCTGTTATCAGTGTTACTGCTACAGACCGAGATGAAAATCCCAGATTGATCTACCAGATTACCAATGGAAACACTAGGGATCGATTCAGTATTATCAGCCAGAACAGACAAGGTCTCATATCTATTGCTCAGCCTTTGGATTATAAAATTGAAAAACGCTTTGTGCTCACTGTTACAGCAACAGATTCAGGTGGAAGATTTGACACGGCAACTATTTATATCAACATCACTGATGCCAACACTCACAGGCCAGTTTTTCAACGTACGCCATATTCAGCAAGTGTTTCTGAAGATGAACCAATAGGAACAACGGTTCTAGTAGTTGAAGCATCTGATGGAGATGTTGGAGAGAATGCACGGATCACTTACAGTATGGACAATGTTCCACAGTTTCGCGTGGACCCAAACACTGGCGCCATCATTACTACTCAACGCTTAGACAGGGAATTAGCTCCTGGTTATACAGTAATTATAACTGCCCAAGACAATGGAAGTCCTCCTCTTGCTGACATCACTAATGTGGAGATAGAGGTTGCAGATGTCAATGACAACGCCCCCCAGTTTGACCCTGTTAGTTATACCAGCTCAGTAAGCGAGGACGCCCTGGCCGGGAGTCGAGTTCTACAACTGCATGCCACAGATAAAGATTTGGGGCTTAATGGTCAGATTAGATACACTTTCCACAACGGCAAGGATGGTGATGGAGCTTTCAGTGTTGATCCCACTTCGGGAATAATCCGAACAACTCGACTGTTGGATCGGGAATCTGTTCCACACTATCAATTGGTAGCTTATGCTGTTGATCGAGGGTCTCCTGCCATGTCCACTTCTGTGTCCATCACTATCTATGTAGAGGACATCAATGATAATCCTCCTCGTTTTGAGGCAGACAAAATTAAATTGTATGTTCCAGAGAACAGTCCAGTAGATTGGATTGTTGGGGAGATCAAGGCCACTGACCCAGATGAAGGACCAAATGCCCAGATTCAGTACAGTATTGTGGGTGGTCCAGATGCAGACTCTTTTTTTCTGGTGACCCGACCAGGACAACCAGCGGAGCTAACCACCAGAGTTGAGCTGGATTATGAATCAACTAAGAAAAAATATGATGTCATTGTACGTGCGTCTTCTGCACCTCTTCAAAATGATGTGGACGTAGAAATCTGGGTGACCGATGTCAATGACAATGCTCCTATTCTTAAGGATTTCTCTATCATTTTCAACAATTACAAAAACTACTTTCCCGTTGGACCTATAGGCAAGGTTCCGGCTTTCGATGCAGACGTCACAGATGTGCTGAGGTTCAGATTTGTTTCTGGAAATAATGCCAACTTGTTGATTCTAAACGAAACCTCAGGAGAGGTGAAACTCAGCCCCAGCTTGAACACCAACGTTCCTATTCACGCTGTGATGGAAGTCAGTGTCTTTGGTAAGTCAGACTTTTGTAGAATCTGTATATTCATGTCCTTGTTGGTTGTTATATTTTCATAATAAATCTCAAATTAATTTACACTAAGAATTTTACTTTATTCAAATTTAAATTAAGAGCAACCACACCAATTTTTCAATAAATGCAGGAAATGTAGTTTCATCTGTTTCATGTTATTGAAGTTTTATTTTCTTTATGAAAATATTGTAAATAATGAAACTCCACAAAAGAAGATAAAATAATAGTTTTTTAGCCGGAAATACCATTCCAGTTTGTAAATATTTTCATAATCACGAGGAACTATGAAACCGTTATCGCCTTTACTTTTTTCCTTACGAAACACAATTTTTGTTTACGGCGAATCTTTATTAAAGAGTTTTTGTTTGTTTTTAATAACGAAAGTTATAAATCAGTAAATGGATTTTCCTCCATTTTGTTCGTTGTTAATCACAAAGTTTCACAAAGGACTGTCTGTACTGTATGAATTTTAACATTATAAGTCCTCATTCTTAACACTAAGTTATCGAAGGGTTTTTTCAGTATTACTGTCTTCTCTTCAGTTGCACATAGCAGAAATCGTTTAGATAGCCTTAACGTCAGAACTGCAGCTTGAAGCTGTTGGATCTATCCCAGCGACGTTTAAATGTATACTTTAGGACACTAAAAGTACGGTGCTTTGAGTTGTCTTTTATTCACTATAGTGAACCTGTAGTTATATAGGATTTGAAGAATATATATCATTCATACTAGTATGATACTAGCAATTTATAGTTATATAGGATTTGAAGAATATATATCATTCATACTAGTATGATACTAGCAATTTATAGTTATATAGGATTTGAAGAATATATATCATTCATACTAGTATGATACTAGCAATTTATTCTTGCAGACAGTTTGTTTTTGTTTTGTTTTTCGTGCAAAGCTAGACGAGGGCTATCTGTGCTAGCGGTCCCCAATTTAGCAGTGTAAGACTAGAGGGAAGGCAGCTAGTCATCACCACCCACCGCCAACTCTTGGGCTACTCTTTTACCAACGAATAGTGGGATTGTCCGTTACATTATAACGTCCCCACGGCTGAAAGAGCGAGCATGTTTGGTGGGACGGGGATTCGATCTTGCAGACAAACAAGGACGTTAAACTCATTTAAAATGAACACTCAAACATTCTAGATGTATGGGTATTCATAGCAAAGTTCAAATAATGAATAATTAAAAAAACTGCTAGACACATTAAGATTTTCAGTTCGGTATTTAAAATCATTTTTTAAATTCGTATACAAAATTTTGCAAGTAAGTGGATATCAAGGTACAGAGTAATGGAAAGAAAAAATATATTGTGTAAAACAAACCTTGCCCTATACGGTATCATGTGTAGTAATTTTCATTATATAAGTACAGGGCCCGGCGATGGCCAGGTGGTTAGGGCGCTCGACTCGCAATCTGGGGGGTCGC